ATTAAATTTTTTGAAAGTTTTGATAAGCTTGCGGGCATAAATCTTAATGTGTCTATAAATCTTATTGTGAAAGTGTTGCTAATATATTTTGAAAACGTTATAAACTTTTCCTCACTGTTTGGTATCACCGAAATTGAATGTGCGTCATAACCAAGACGAGTGACAATAAAATGTGAATCATAATTCGTTAAATTATGAAAAAATACCGGTACAAAGCTAGGTGTTTGGAGTTTAAGATTACACGTATTACATAGTGACTGTCTAAATTTCCCTGATAAATGGCAGTGATCTGCCACTTTATGATTTTCTAGGGAAAACTTGACCTTACATAAATTACAATTATTACATAATGCATGTGTTCTCCGTTGTTCGTCTGTGAAAATTATAGGAATGTTTGTTTTGAGTAACTCTTCAATTTTTTTGGCTATTTCCACAATTTTATCCACAAAATGTCCAGCTACGTCCTTATTATTTTCATTTCCACGGTAAATTACAGGTGATGTTGGAATTTCAAATTTTTCAAGCAGTTCTACTGGTATGTCTTCATTTGCTTTAACCACAAGTCCATAGCTCATGGGCTCGTGCTGTTGAAAAGCTACTGTTTTTTCTCCAATTTTCTCATCAGTTTTCTTGAGAATTGCTTCGAAATCTGCATAAATTACTATAGGATGACGTTGCGTTTTATTCCATGCAGTAAACTCGAGCATTGTTCCAGGTTCAGGCATCTGAGCTAGTATAGGTTTATGTTCTCCACATATTAGTTTATGTTGCTCTAGCCCTGCCTCACCGTTTAATTTATATTTGTACTGTTGTTGGTCGAATGATGTGAAGCACCGTTTGCAAAATATTGATTGTCCATCATGTTTGGTTTTTTGTGACCTGATGAGCCGTGAAAAATTAGATATGTAGCTATAATGACTGTTATCCTCGTCTGATGTTATAAGTAGATCAAAATGGTCTGGTTTTTCTTCATCTACTACTTTAAGAGGAAAAACTTTATATTCTGTGAATTTTGGTGGTTGAAATTTCTTGTCGATACCGTAAACATTGACAGACACGTTTGGATTATTTTTTTCAAAAATTTTAACTTTATGTAGTGGTGTTGGGAATGTTAAACCAGAAAAATTATATTTATCCTCGAGCGATGTATAATTATCACCAACACGGTATTTATTTTCTCCTGTAACATGTTTTGCTAGAATTGCCCACTTGAAGCATTGCATATCTAAGTTTTGAGGGTTGATCACAGCTTTTTTTTTTTCTATTTGGTCTGGTAGTGGCATGTATGATGATCCGCCCAAAGGTGTATATTTATATACGCCTAACATTAAACCGTCAATACATTGTAATGTGAAACCACTACCCTTGCTTGCATACTCGTCTTGCTCTTTCATTAATTTAGTAAATGCCTCTTCAACAATTTCCTGTACTCCAGTATCACAGAAAATCGCCTTAGCCGAAGTTTTAAAAGCACGGTTTTCCGACGAATATTCAACATTTGGTATATTATATGTTGCTTCAAGCTTTAAATTAAACTTGATTGGATTTTTACTTGCAATTGATTTTAGTAAATTAACTAGTTCAGATTTGATCGAATCGAGGAAGTAAATATAGTTTTGAATATTATTGGTGTTTTTTACGTAATACCAGGTGATAGTATTGTTTGCTGATGTAGATATTGACTGAAATCCGGGGGACTTTACGAGATTCAAACGTAATTTTTTTGCCCTAACTGCTGATCTAGTGTTGGCACTGGAAACGCGTTTTCCATTATCAAGCGTAATGTATGAATCTTTTAAAAAAAAAACCTAATTAGTCTATGCCGCGTTTATAAAAATTAAATTACTAACCTTCCTTTTCACAGTATCCAAGATCCTCGATAATATCTGCAACTTGAGCGTAAACTTCATCATCATCCTTGTCTTTGTAAAATGTGTCCGTTATATTATCTCGTACTGTTGGCACGTGGGTATTTATACGTACTGATAATACGTTATCATTTTGGGTAGGCTGTTCTGTCGGACAATCTCGCACGGTTGATGCGCGGTCATTTCGGGTTGGTAGCACTGTTGGAGTGGTATGTCGCGACGGTCCTGCCGGAATATCGGGAACGGATATATGTGGTGCGATCTGTATAATTCCCTGCTGTACGGTACCTAGTAAAAATATAATATAATATAAATAAATATTAAAAGTGATAATCAACAATACTTACCACGAACGCCCTCTATTGTTTCCCTGTAAAAATTTAGTTTATTAACATAAAAATAAAATAAGTTAAGAAAAAATATTCATACCTCTTTCACTTTTTCCATCCATTTTTGAACGATAGAATCAGTTGCGTATAATTTTACTTGATTTGTGTAAATGTAATCACCCTGACTAATACCATATTGTATTGCCTCGTCAATAACATGTCTTTGGATATAACTATTGTCAATTTTTCTCACTTTGTTTCTCATTATTTCGAGTGTAGAGTTTTGTAGCGGTACGTTTAATTGTAAGAATGTAGCGATTAACTCAATATGATGTAGTACAATTGGTTTAACTATTTCAGATTTTCTTTTAATAATTTCATAAATAGCAGATTCTAAATCTTGCAACTGTAATAGATCGGAGCGATTTAACAGAACACGACATCCGTCTTGAATTTTTGATTCTAAAACGAGTGTGTTCTCCGATTGATACACCATACTAGTTAAAGAAATTGAATCCGTCTCCAAAAATAATTTTCGATTATATTTTTCTGGTTGATCGAGTATGAACGATAGAATGTTGCCCATAAGTCTGAATATACGCATTAGAAAATCGACAGGAATATTTACATGACGTGAAGCTGTTATAATATGTATCTTGGTGTTGAATTCGTCGGTAGGGTCTAGTCCAATGTTTAAAAACTTCCGAGCCGTGAAATCAATAGTCAAGTTACTACAGTCGATGAGATTAGCTGGTGGCGCTGGTGGAGTATATTTAAAAGGTTTCTTCTTCCAAATATTAGCCATATTTTCGACTGGTCCGGCCATATTTATTTTATAGAACGAAAAATAATTTTATTTTAAAAACTTCTCAATTCAACGCTGCAAACGATACGAACGCACGAACACTCGGGCGGGTGAAGAGCGACTGATTTCATTTTACAGTATTAAACGTGTACATTGAATATTATTTGGTGGGGGGAGCATCTGCGTGTCACTGCAGGAATATTGCATGCAGCTGCATGTCCGTTACAATTGTTTAGATGTTCGGTAATATATATAACATGTACAAATATTTTAAATAAAAACTGAGCACAATAATAACGGGTGCGTGATAACATATATATACACGTTCGTGATAATGTTCATGATCAAATGTTAACGGGTGCTTGATAACACGTTCGTGATAAGAAATAATTTTCATTATCAAATGTTAACGGGTGCTTGATAACACGTTCGTGATAAGAAATAATTTTCATTAAATGATATTAGAAATAATATGTACATTTATACAAGTTAAATAGGGCTAGTTATTACCAATTAAGTATATGTGGCGGGGTGGCGCAGTGGCACAGTGGTCGCTCACCAAACCACAGGCTCGGGTTCGAAACCCGGTCGGACGAAAAAATTTTTTAACTTATTTTCCCCGGGCGGCGGCGGCGGCCATAGAGTGCCGTCGGCGGCGGCGGGTGGTGGGGGTAGTCGACCGGCGGTGGGCTCTGCCGTCGGCTGGTGGGGGTAGTCGACCGGTGGTGGGATCTGCCGTCGGCGGCGGGATCTGCTGCCGTGTGTCAGGGATCTGCTCGAGAGCATAGGAATCTGCCAGCAGGATCTGGTTCCAGAACTGTCTTTTTTACTCTACTTGAAATGTATTGAATTTACTTATTATTACTTACCTTATTACGTATGTAACGACATTGTCATAAACAATCGACACACCAAGCTGCTACTAAAACTCTTAGCTATAATAGTTAAATTTACTGCAATACTCGTGAAAAATGTCTATCTAATCCGTGCATTCAAACTACTTATATTTTTAATATTATTGAAATGCTGAATGGCGGCTTCCACAACGGTACGATAATAAAATTCATAATAATGACATTTACATAACACTTGAACCGTTTCTGAATATTGCGTTTTACATATTATATATATATTTTACACACGGAAATATCACAATTTTTGTAAAAATCGCACACGCACTTTTTTATTATATTATATACCTAAATACCTAATATATAGAAATACGGAATAACTCGGGAAAATAATATTCGAAAATATTCACGTCAATCGTCGATAACGAAAAGGGAGATAAGCGAGCGGCGACGTGAAAATTTAGCGAACGCGCGAGAAGTATTATGATTGGTCGTCATGGAAGAAACGCGGAGTTGCTTATTTGCTGCGTCGCGCGAGAAGTAATATGATTGGTCGTCATGGAAGAAACGCGGAATTAATTATTTGTCGCGTCGCGCCTGGTGGCAAAAAACGGAGACTATTTGTGTTTTATAATATAAGAGATTAAATTACAAATTTTGTAATAAAAACTAATTAACCAAAAATAATTATTAAACATGGTTATCGAAAGTCATTTATAGTTTTTATGTAATTTTTATACATTTAATAAATTATATCCACTATCCATCTCATATGTAAATATAACTTCTTTATTAACATAATATTATCATGTCTGTGTATCATTGATGAAAATTTTGAATATTATATGTATAACGTGTTTGATCACTTTAACAGTTTTACTTCAGTGTAGGTACGAACACTGTAGTGATCACTAATCGGTATAGCTAAATACTTTGTATTATTATTTTTTATTTTTGTTTAGGTTATTTGCGTTATGTGTATAGTGTGAATATTGAAGACTTCGGAGTTAAAATTATAGTAAAGCAGCTAGAAAAAGAACTAGAAAACCTCACAGCGTTGGAAGTAGTTGATGATTCGAATTCTGCCGAGAAACCAAATTTGAAAGGAGATTGGTTGAATTTTTTCCTGTAGTTATTACTGTTTACTATGCAAGGTATACCTTATGGTTTAGCATTGGCAATGCCGATAATTTTGCAAAACAACAAAAATGTGTCTTGCAAAGATCAAGTAAATATCTGATTCAACATCAAAAATTGCGTAACCGTGCGATTATTGTATTGTATAATATAAAATAAATGCTTGATATTGACTTGTATGATGTATCCAAATCTTAGGAATTTCGAACTTCACTATAACTCATAACATAAGCGTGGTTGTGTTTTGTTATAGGCTATATTCAGTTTAGTTGCATGGCCGTATAGCTTAAAACTGATATGGGCCCCTTTGGTAGACTCGCTGTACGTACAAAAGATGGGAAGACGAAAATCGTGGCTCATACTAGTTCAATATTCAATTGGTGCGTAAATATTAATATAAATGTCTCTAAATGAATAAAGTGAACGAACATTTACTATGTCGTACATTTTTAAGACGGAGACAACAACCGCATGGGTAGCATCGTCTTAATATTAAATAAAAGTAAACTTAACCTACATTATGTTGTTTAAAAACAATTACGTATATTTAATGTCGTTTTATTTTAATAAGAAGTATAATCTAAGTACATGCATAAGTATATTTATTAAATTTGAGTAAAATCATTTGTTTCAATTTAAATACATAATGCAATTAATGATGCAAGCAGTGGCGGCTCGTGGGTTTTTAATGAACGTAGGATAACCTATTTTAGAGTCATTTACTTAGTTACAGCAAAATAGTATGTACATAGTGTTTATTATTTTTAATTGTAAGGTTCTGTTATGAGTTTAACTTATAAGATATCTGTATATTATAAAAACTATTACGGATCATTAAGATTTTGAATATTTCTTAAATTTAACACTGACATCGAATTTATTATAAATTATAAGCAAACGGAAACATGTGATTTTGAGAGTTTCGAAAATATGGTTAACCCTGAATTATATTTTGATTACATGGATTTACTTATTATAATAATATCAGTCGAAGCGTTAAACTTTAGTGGCCTTCGTCTAACAATAAAGAGAGGTATCTACCCCTCATAAATTCACCTTTGGCGAACTTTTTAACTTCCTAAGCTAATGTGGTTCATATCTCCCCGTTGTCTTCTATTTTTTCTTCCTCTCTGGTCGATATTTATTTTCTTAAATATACCTTAATGACTTCCCAATTGGTTCTGTTCTGTAGCATTTGGCTCTCCAATGTCTCAGGTTTCAGTTTTCTTCCGATACTGTTCATAGACAACCTGTATCGTATATATAACCTTACACATGAAGTTTCAACTAGCTATTATGATTTCTGAATAGTTAATGACGTATACATTTTTTCAACTATTATTTTTTATTGTTTACAACTTTATAAGAAACATGGTCCATTATCAACGACATTTTATATTGATAAGATATACTTTTACTGATTTAATGCCTAACGAGATCAATATTGTACTGGACAAATACATGGCATTTTCAATAAATTCCGAAATACGTGTAAGTAGTGTCAACATAATTAATTTATTGAAAAAAATACACATAAACATGTTAAATTTATAAAAAAAATATATAGACCATTTTATATACCTTCTAATAATAACATAAATATTATGAGTGAATTTGGTATTTTATTGTATCAACATGCTGATTTGGTCAACTAGAGTAATTTTGTTTTCACTTAACCTGAAAAGTATAGTTAAATAGGTATGTATATAGGAAATGGACATTTTTTTTGATGTGAAAACATCTTATGTGGCGTTCAGACTTTTCCGTTAGGGCAGTGAATTTTTTCGAGCGTTATTCGAGCGTTACCCTTTTCGCGTAACGCTAGCGCTTCCGACGTGCTGATTGGCGGAGACTCGGTGCGACGCGACGCAACGATAGGCCGCCTGTGCTCAGGGGGCGTGGCTTCATTACGATCACGGACATCGAACATAGTGCGGGCGAGAGCGTCAAATTAGTTCATCGTTGACAACCAACGTGAACAATTAACTAAAAATGTATTGTATACATATTACATACAATATTACTATTTGATCACATGCGCAGGCGCGCAACTACGAACGCGTCGTACTCGTACATCGTCCGTTGTCGCGCGTTGGTAGTTCTCGAGGACGTTTTTCGTTGATAAACACTATAAACAATAAACATGGTCCAGGGCTTGAAACCGTTATCAAAATTATCGGTTAACGCTAGGAAATTCTATAACGTCGGTAAACGTTGAAACTTTGATAACAGAGAAATTCGAAATGTTTGTTTGCTAAGCAATAAAGTAAACATTTCAAACGCCATGATCCAGCGTTTTGTCTGTTCAGTAGTTCAGTTCCAACAACCAATACCTACCGTGGTTGAATTTGCTTAAACTTTTTTAATCAAAAGTACCTACCTATATTTATTGATGTGAAAATCGTTTTGCATGACAGTGTAAATTTTCGAGCGTTACCTTTTTCGTAGGTACCGAGCAAATTTTCTATGGAGTTAATATTTTCGGACTTTTAATTTTTTTTTTCAAAATTTTTCGAAAAACACCAAAAATTCTTTTGTCACTAACAGACTAATTATGACGTCAGACTGGGCGTCAACCTTGGGGGTAGGTCAAGATCGGAATTCCTGCCGAGCGAATTTTCTATGGAGGTAATATTTTCAGACTTGTGATTTTTTTCCATATTTTTCGAAAACCACCGAAAATTCTTTTGCCACTAACAGAGTAATTCGGACGTCAGTCTGGGCGTCAACATTGGGGGTAGGTCGAAATTGGAATTCATACCGAGCGAATTTTCTATGGAGGTGATATTTTCAGACTTGTGATTTATTTCCAAATTTTTCCTTCAAATTCTAAACTCATTGCATATAATATATGTTTTCACATCTTATGAGGGTCGCTTGAGACACACGCGTTTTTTTTTTTTTACTATTTTACGTCTTGAAACTTGTAACTTACTGTATAGCAGAGCAACACCCACTTATCCACATTTTTTAATTATAAATATGCTTACAATTTTTTTTGTATTATACAGTCATATATTTTTTGTTTAAATTATTTTTAATAACGTTTGATGTGCTTATAATATAATATTAATAATTTATACAACAAAATACAAAAAAATTCATAATAATTATTTATGAAAACATAGATTATCCAATGTAGTATTATTTATTTATTGAATGCACTTTTAAATTTGGAATTATCGTCATCAACTTCGTTTAAGATTTCAATGATAGTGTGTAAGCCAACTCGTACAAGTGACGTATAGTGGATTTTAGGATAAATTGAGGTGTAAATAAATGCGTGGACTTTATTTGAATTATTGTAAATTTATGAAATTTATTAACACGTTAAACACTTATGTCCGTAAAATAGTTCGGAACGGGAGTATTCGATTTCTTTCAGATATTTTCTAAGTCCAAATTATTACTTTTCGAAAATATTCTAAGTATAAAATATAATTTTACTATACTAATTGGCTTGAAGGTGCTTGTCCTGGCTTGACAGATCACGTCTAAATACTGGCTGTTTCAGGGTTCACCATATAGTCCTGGGACCCAATTATTGAAATCGTGATAAACTTTGTCGTATTCGATAAAATTTTTATCACATGAAAATAAATATTTGGTATTCCTGAATTGTGGTATGACTTTAGTCGAACGAAAAACATTCGACTATTTGTTGACTGATAAAACGTCGGTGACAAAGTTTAGTCGCATGATTATCGCATACTTGATCATACATTTAAGAAATAGAGTTTTTAGATACGAGAAATTTACACATAACAATGTGATATCAATTTTTGAAATTGTTAAGTTGATAATTGATATTTAATCTTTTTTCTATGATTGATATTGTTTTGAATTGTAATATTTTTGTACATTAAACTTTTACTGTCCACCAGCCTATCGATAAGACTATCTTCTTTCCACGGATGCGGTGTCCATAAAATCTTTGGGAAATGATTATGGTCCACATTCATCCTGTCTAAATGCATTTTGACTGTTTATTGCGCCGTATTTATTGTAAATATAAATTACATAGTCATATACGAAGTGCACGTGATCATTATTTGTTACCGGGCAACGAAGTGCGCGGGATAATTTGGTACAGAGATAGATGGGCAGAAGATAGACTAATTTATAAAGGGCGAGGATAATAACCTAACCCTGAGAGGTGCTCAAACAGGGATTTTGAGATTTCTGATGGACATTTTTGTTTATAAATGGTTGCCATGGGTTTTTAAGGTATTATAATAATAATTATTGGTTGGCTGCAACAAAGAGCACGGGATCAGCTAGTTAAGTTAAATATATATATTACAGTCATATATCATATAGGTAAATAATTTTTTATATAATATAGTATTATGTTATGTGTAATGTGTATAATATACTATATCACTATAATGTGTAAATGTATATAATATCATACAGTGGCGGCTATCAAACAAAATAAAGGTGCATCAAATTTTGAATTTAGTTACCCACCCACCAACTCTGGTATACAATGGTATACAATTTAGTGCCTAACCAATAATTTACCACCCACCCACCCAATTATAAGGTGTATCGACGGATACACCTTGAGTATAGGATAGCCGCCACTGAATTATCATATATTTTAATAATACTTTGTCCTCGAAGTGTGATATCTTGTACAATTTGACCCTACGCAGAGGCTTAACCCTCGTTATTATTTTCCCCTTTCTTAGAATTGAATATCTCCTTTAAACGAAAATTCATAAACTGTTTATTACTACCTCACATTATTTATTCTATATTAACAAGTTGTCCTAAGGTCATCTGAAGACTGAAATGGTCATCTAGTCGTTCAAATGTGACTTGTACTATTTATTACTATTATAAGCTATCACGTTGGACTCTAGATACAACAATAGACGTTAAAAAGTTCAAATAATGTCCTTTAGATTATAAGAAAATTATTGTTCTACAACCGATCTAAAAATCTTAAGTTATTCATACATAACAAAATAGAGGGAAAACGAATACACTTTATTATATCCAGTATATCTACCACACTTTATACGTATATATATATATATATATATATTTCGACGTACGTTCGACTATACGTACCAGTGTTGAGCCGAGATAAATATAATTTTATCTAGATAAAGATAAAGATAAATTATAATAATGTTGAAAATCATTGATCATACCTGTTCAATATTTAATGGGTGTGTGAATAAATATTAATGTTTGCATTAAGCACGTTTATTGAAACACGTTCTTTCAAGATTATGTTTTGTTAAAATCATATGGAATTGTTAGCGTATTGTTGCCTGTTGTATACCTAACTACCTATATGTAATTCACGAATCCAAACATTTAAAAACTTTATACGAATGTTATGTGCTATAGCTTGATATATTCTTTTTAATAAGT